CCCGCGCACTGATCGCAGGCTGCGTTGTTAACAGCCGCTCCGAGAGGAACCTGCGATGACCCTGCAAGTGGAAACCTGTTTTGGCGAGAGGGTGGTCCAACCAACCCGAGGAAAAAATTCTCTGCTAATGTCTTTATTTACGGATGGGCTGACAGGCAGACCCGATAGGAAGCATCCTTGTGCTCATACCCGCACTGATCGCAGGCTGCGTTGTTAACAGCCGCTCCGAGAGGAACCTGCGATGACCCTGCAAGTGGAAACCTGTTTTGGCGAGAGGGTGGTCCAACCAACCCGAGGAAAAAATTCTCTGCTAATGTCTTTTTATTTACGGAAATTAGGCCGAAAGGGTTGTCTGCCTAGTGGGCTGCCGTGTACTAGATGAAACTGAGGTCCTAAAAAGAAGGGGCTGACGCAAGGTCACTCAGATACAGAACCAGGCCCGGAATCCCAGGCTCCCAATCCAGAGCTGTTTTTGGTGGAGAAACAGCTGCTCCGGGCACACGTGGGAGGCTGGGGGAGGGGGTCTTGGACCCAAATTAGCCGTGAAGATGCTGTGCTAGCTGTCAGAGGGTATTTAGAGCTGCGGGAGGGCTTTTGCGATTGTGTGCTTTTTTTCTGCAACTTGCCTTCTGCGTGCTAAGTGGATCCCGCTTCACGACGCTTACCTCAACCCGCAGGCTTTCACATAAACCTTGATGTTATCTTGCTACCCTGGTAGTGAAAAAAAATATAATTTATATTTTTTGCATAACGGGGATGTTCTGTCATTGGATAATGGTTCCTTTTGCATTCCCTTTCCTCTCAGATGGTTTATGGTGTTGGTCTATCTCATAAGGGGGTGAGGAAGCATCAAGGTTAGTGGTTTTTGCAAAAATATTCCTCGAATTTATAGTGTGGTCGTTGCTAAATGGAGGCTTCTTTGCGTGGCTGTGGCCATTTAGGTGTTTTGGGGGGCAGGTGTTAGCTTTATGTTTTTGGCACACATGAGCTGCTTTTATTGCATAATTTTGTATGATCCCCTCATTTTGAGTTGAAGAATTGGCCGAAGTCACATATATGGTGAGTGGCAGACATAGGGCTTTGCTTTCCTTTTTCCCATTTCCGAATATTCATATGTCCTTGTAATATATTTTCAGAGGGTAGAGATGGTATATACAAGGTAGGTGACAGATGAAAAGAACTAAATGCAGTTCGTTAAGTTTTTTAACTAAAAAGACTTTTTTTTTTTTTTTTTGAGACAGAGTCTCATATGGGCTGACCTGGCCTGGAATTGGGACCCTCCAGTCCTAGCCTCCTGAGTAGCTGAGATTACAAGGCATCTGCCACTGTGCCTGGCCTCAGCAACTATTAATGTTTGAGTCGAGACATTCACCTGTTAACATGTATACAAGGTCATCTATAGTGGTACTTGCCCACTAATTAAAAGTACAATAACTGCACCGAGTATTTATGTGTAGGCTAACTCCTCTATGAGATAGATAAGGTTATTTGGCGTTTTGTTTTGTTTTGTTTCTTGTACTAGGGATCAAACTCATGAACTTGAGCTTGCGAAGTAAGTGGTGGAAGCACTGAGCTAAATCCCAGCCCTGTTTTGTTTTGTTTGAGACAGCATCTTGCTATGTAGTCTAGGCTAGCCTCAAACTGTCAGCAATCCTCCTTCCTCAGCCTCCCTAGTGTTGGGATTACAGGCTATATATTATTGTGGTCATAATAGGAAACTGAAGCCCAAAGCGATTAATTTCCTCAAGGTTGTAACTAGTAAGTTGTAGAGCTGGCATTCAAAACACCAGTCTCATTGGGGGAGCCCGGCCCTTGTCTAAGCTCATTTCAGTAGCACCATTGTTTGTACAGCATTATTGTACTGCTAAGGGTTTACTGTTTTACAGCTGTCAGAAACCTTGTCTGGGACCTCAGCTCTTGCTGTATGTTGTTGAGAGTGCACCTGAACAGGGCTGTGAGGTGATTTGTTGTGCGATTGCCATGGATTGAAATTCCACTTGTGTCTAGAGTTGAAATTTTACTTATGTCTAGAGTTGAGTAACCTTTTTGTAGATACATTTGATAAGTTGAAACGTTTTTGCGGTGCATCTTGCATTACTAATAATATATTGCATTTTTGTTTTTGAAAACTATCCATGAACTTTTGTTCTTTTTTTTTTGAGGGGGTACTGGGGATTGAAACCAGGGCTGACACTGAGCTACATCCTCAGCTTGTTTTATTTTTTATTTTGAGATTGTCTTGCCAAGTTGTTGGACTTGAATTTGTGATCCTCCTGCCTCAGCCTCTCAAAGTGCTGGCAGGCATATGTCACAACACTTGACTTTCACCCATGAACTCCTCTATTTTTTTTTTTTTTCTTGGTACCGGGTATTGAACTCGGGTCCTTGTGCTTGCAAGGCAGGCCACCGAACCGCTGAGCTAAATCCCCAGCTAAGGAAGAGAAGGCACAACCAACATTTTTTTTTTCTTTTTTGATACTGGGAATCAGACTCAGGGCCTTGTGCTTGCCAGACAGGCGCTGTGTGGCTGAACTATATCCCCAAAGCCCCTTCAACACATTTTGTACTTTTGTGTAACTTGGTGAAAGAAAGCCTCAGTGCTTTCTTGTATCATTACTGTTACCTTAAAAGTTTTTTGTTTCTTGTTTGTTTGTTTTTTGTGCTTGGGGATCTAACTCAGAACTTTGCACTTATAAGGCAGGTGGTGGCACCACTGAGCTAAATCCTGGCCCTTTCAAATGTCGTTATTTGAGTTTTATTTTGTTTTTGTTTTGGTGGCATCAGGAATCAGGACCTTGGCTTGGGAGGCAGGCGCAGTGCCACTGAGCTAGATCCCTGGCCCCAGTTAAGAGTGTTTTTAGCGGGGCACAGAGATGCACACATGTATTCCCAGCATCTAAAAAGGCTAAGGCAAGAAAGTTCCTGTCTTAAGGGCAACTCATAAAGGACCCCTCCTGTCTTTCAGGAGCTGTTCTCATTCCACATTAAATTTTTCTACTCTTAAAAAAAAATCCTGTTTTAAAATTTTAAAAGGAGGATAGGATGGGAATGTAATTCAGTGTGAAGTGCCCTAGGGTTTGGTATCCAGCTACACACACACACACAAAAAAAATGTTTTTAGTGGTTATGGGATAGGAAAGGGGTGGGGTGGAGAGAGATAATAAATATTCAATTGTTTAAGTAATTCATTCCACTTTTTAAATAGTTGGAAGTGATGTTTAGGTACAGTACTTACTAAATTTGCATAGAATATGGGAATTGGTAGGACAGTATATTGCAAAATAAATACAGAAATTCAGCCAGGTGTGGTGGCGCATGCCTGCAATCCCAGCACTTGGGAGGCTGAGAGGCAGGAGAATTGCTTAAGCTCGAGACCAATCTGGGCTACAAAGTAAGTTCCGGGTCAGTCTCAACTACATAGTGAGACCCTGTCTCAAAAACGACAACAACAACAAAATTTCAAAGTAGAAAAGTCTATATATAGTGTTTTGAATACCCAAATACACAATATGTACATACACATGCACAAGATCCTTTGTTCTGATCTGTTATACTTCTTGCATTAGCCTGGATCAGGTGTAGCATTTATTCCCCACAGTGTCTCCGCAGTGATAATCACTTCTTTGGTGACTTAGGACGTTTCCCTTGGATCTCTGTTCAAATGCTGGTTCAGGTAATTATTCTGGCATAGCTCATTAATAAAACTCCTAGGTCCTCAATCAGAGGTGATATTTATTCTGAGCCTCCTGTTGGATAGTATTAACTGTGAATCTTTTTCAGTTTTGCCCTGGAAGTGTGACGGGATATTTTGTTGACTGAAGGCTTCGTGGCTGTAGAAAGTCACTTGGCACAACTTATTTTTTTCTTCTGTTCTTTTTTGTTTTTTGTTTTTTTTTAAAGACAGGTTCTCACTATGTACTTGAGACTGACCTGGAACTCACTGTGTAGCCCAGGCTGATCTTGAACTCACAGCAATCCTCCTGCCTCAGCCTCCCAAGTGCTGGAATTACAGGCATGTGCCCCACACCCAGCTCTTCTTCTGTTCAAAAAATCATTTTAAAAGCCGTAACTGGCTAGGGATGTAGCTCAGTGGTAGAATGCTTGCCTAACACTCGCAGGGCCTTGGGTTAGATCCCCAGCTCTGCCAAAATAAAAACCATCAATTAATGAGAGATGGTCTCACTATGTACAGACTGGCCTTGAACTTGCTAAGTATCCCAGACTGGTCTTGAACTCACAGTCTTCCTACCCAGCCTCAAATGCTGAGATTAAAACTCATTTAAAATTTTTTTCTTTTTGCTACTGGGATTTGAACTCAAGACCTTGGGCTTGCAAAGGCAGGTGTGGTGCCACTGAGCGAAATCCCTGGACCTTGAATATTAAAAAAATTACTTTTATTTATTTATTTATTTTTAAGACCAGACCAGCCTGAGCTACATAGTGAGTTCCAGGTCAGTCTCACTATATAGTGAGACCCTGTCTCAAAAAACCAAAAAAAACTAAACACAAACCATGAAACCGAAACAGTGTTACTACTACATTCTTACCTAGATTTCCATACTTGTGAAACTGAGACTTGTTCTTTTTTTTTTTTTTTTTTTAAAGATTAGCAAGTACATTAGAGAAGTGATAGGCTGGAACCAAACTGACACTTTCTCTCTCTCTCTCTCTTTTTTTTTTTTTTTGGTACCAGGGATCGAAGTCAGGACCTTGCACTTGCAAGGCAGGCAGCAGAACCACTGAGCTAAATCCTCAGCCCTGACACTTTCTCTTTAATGTAAGGGAAATACTAGAAAAGTACTCAGCTTTCTCAGTGTTTCCTAGTGCTGTCTCAAGGACCACCTGAAATGTTTCATTTTTAATTGTATTTACCCTTTGCTTTGTGAAACATTGCTTAAACTAGTGCCTCTTACTGTTTCCTCTGATTTGTGGATGGCTAATTTTGGCCAGCTCCTTTTATTTAAGGGAACAACAGCAATCCCCATGGCCAAAATTGCAGTTATTCTTGAATAAGTTTAAAAAGATTTACTAGAAAGTGTGACAGATTTGGGATAGCATTTTTATTGCCCTGTTTTCCCCAGGAGCACATAATTTATATTAGAGAGTAATGTAAAATGAGAATAAAATTCTCTCAAAGGAGCAACCAATTAATCTGAGGTCACCTAAGTAAGCATCCAGGAAAAGACAAGTTGACATCAAGCAGTGTAACAGAAGTGTGTTAGTTAAAAGTCTTTTGGGTACAAGGAAGTGAAACTCACTGGTATTAGTTCAAGTCAAGGGGAGGTTGCCAGAAACCCTTGTGGAAGGCAAAGACAGGAATTTGTAATACCCGAGATCCTCATGGAAACTGGGAAGCTGTTATGATCTGAAGCTTCTTCCTTAGTTGCTAGTCTCAGCTTTTCTTTGTCTTTGCTTAGTGTGTGCCCCACCTTACCCCACAGTACTCAGGATTGAACCCAATGAATGATTAACTACACCCACCAGATATTTAAAATTTTATTTTGAGAGAGCATCTTTCTAAATTCCCTAGCCTTGGGCCAGGATTTAGCTCAGTGGTGCTGCTGCCTGCCTTGCAAGTGCAAGGACCCGAGTTCAATCTCCAGTACCAATGAAACTAAAACTAAAATAAATTCCCTAGCCTGGCCTTAAACTTGCAACCCTTCTGCATCAGCCTTCCCATGAGCTGAGATTACAGGCATTTTCTTCAGACTGATTTTTCCTGCTCTTTCCTCACCTCGCCCAGGGCCATCTGTTGGCTCTGTGGCCAGAGGAGTGAGGCTTTAGGTTCTCTCTCACAGACTTCATCAGGATTCCCTTTCCCTTCAGATGTTTGGTAGTGGCAGGAGGATGGTGAGTTCAAGGTGAGCCTGGGCGACTTAGCCAGACCTTCTCTCAAAATTTTAGAAAAAGAGGTGGGTGGGATAGGAATGTAGCTCGGTAGTAGAGCACTTGCCTAGCATGTGTGGCAGTTGACAACACAGCCTAAAGCTTCTTCAAAACCAAAAATTTAGAGCTGCCACTGGTAAGGTTGGACTCAAAAGACTTACGATTTTTCAAGTGGGGTTCCCCATGGCTTACTGATTCAGGCTTTCGATGTTGTAGTTACAAATTACCAGGAAGAGACCTAACTTGTGTGTCTTGGTATTGCCTGTCTACTCTGGGGTGGACTGCAGGTTAACACTGTCTAGACATGGTCATGTCCGGTAGTCTCATATGAGTCTGAGTTATACTCTGGGCCACCAGAACCACAGATTATTTTGCATTGAATGTTCCTATACTGCTTTGGAACTTTGATGAACAGAGGGGAACCTGATAGTAGGTTGTGAATTGGCCTGTGTTCTTTGTATATTTAGAATTGACAGTTTCTTATGCATAACACTTCTCATTTTCCTTTTCTGGAAATGAATCTGTTTTTGTCAGACCCCCCCCTTTCTTTTAATAGACCTCATTTATTCATTCATTCATTCATTTGGTAGCATTAGGGTTTGAGCCCAAAGCCTTTGCACTGAGTCACATCCCTAGCCTTTAAAAGTTTAAAAGAATTTTTTAGCTGTGTGTGGTGGCATATACTGTAATCCTACCACTTTTGAGGCTAAGGCAGGAGGATTGTCATAAGTTAAAGACTAGCTTGAACTACATAGCAAGACCCTGCCTCAAAAAAATTTTTTTTTGAAAAAATAAGTTTCTGAATTGCCTGGGCTCAGGCTTGAATTTGCAGTCTTCCTGTTTCAGCCTCTGAGAGTGCTGGGATTACAGGCCTATGCTACCATGCCTGCTTTAGACTTTATTTTCAGAGCAATTTAAAGTTTACAGAAAAATGGACAGAAAATAGAGTTCTCATATACTTCTTCATCTCCCGACACTCTACACCCATTGCTGAGCCAAATGATACATTATTAAGAAATGTTCATAAATTGTTTAGATTATCATTCACACTTTTTTTTGTGCTGGGGATCAAACCTAGGGCAAGCATTCTACCACTCTGCTACATCCTCAACCCTAGAGTTCTTGCTTTGTAATATACATTCTTTGAGGGTCTGCTTGTTTTTGTTTGTTTGATTTTGGAGACAGGTTCTCACTGTGTATTTCAGGCTGGCCTTGAACTCAGTTTGTAGCCGAGGCTAACCTCAAACTCGTAGTGGTCCGTCTGTCTCAGCCTCTCAAGCACTGGGATTACAGGATTACATGTCACCATGCCTGGCCATTCTTTGGGTTTTGACAAATGCATGATGACATGTATCCTCCATTACAGTATCATAGAGTAGTTTTATTCCTCTGAAAGTCCCTGTGCTCCACCAGTTCATTCCAGCCTTCCTGTTCCCAAGTAACTTGTTTAATTTTTCTATAGTTTTGTCTTTTCTGGAATGTCATACATGAATCATATCATACCTAGTTTTTTCAGGTAGATTTCTTAGCAATATGAGCAGGTTTCCTCATTGTCTTTTTCTGGCTTAGTAGTTTTGTTTGTTTTCTTTTTTTGTGATCCTGGGAATTGAACCCAGGGCCTCCTGCTTGCTAGGTGAGTACTTTGCCACTGAGCTCCAGCCTGACCATGAAGTTTTTTTTTTTTTTTTTGGTACCGGGGATCGAATAATTTTTTTATAGCAAATTAAGATACTTTTGAAACATCTGAAAGCAGCCTGTGCATTTTTTTTTACAGATTATCTTGATAATGGTAATAATAAAATGGCAATTCAGCAAGCAGATAAATTGCTGAAGAAACATAAGGATCTTCATTGTGCTAAGGTAAGTTCATTTGCCCAGGTCACTTTTGTTTTTGTTTTTTGGGTTTTTTTTTTTTTGGTACCAGGGATCGAACTTGGGTCCTTGCAAGGAAGATTTTTAAACTCTTTTATTAGTATATGTGATATAATTACATTCATCTGGGGGAATTGGGTCATTAATAGAGTATTACAGATGTTTGATCTCTTTAGAGACTATTCATGTTTTTTTCACAATACTTTGTAGGCTATTTATTTTCCTAATTGCTTGCATGCCGTAAATAATGTTTACTTGAAAACTATCAATATTTTGGGATATAACTTAAGTAGTTATTTTATTTTCACAGAGTCCTTTTCCTTCCTTCCTTCCTTCCTTCCTTCCTTTCCTTCTTTCAGACTGCTATGTAGTCCAGGGTGGCCTTGAACTCATGGGAATCCTCCTGAGTGCTAGGGTTACATGCATGTACCACTATGCCCACCTTCATAGGGTCCTTTTAAACACTGTTGAACACTCGTAATATGACTGAAATAGGGAAGATTTTTTGTGGGCGGTGCTTCTTGAGATGGGATCTCACTATGAATTCCAGGCTGACCTTAAACTCACTGTGTAGCCCAGCCTGGCCTTGAACTTGCAGACATCCTCTTGCCTCAGCCTGCCAAGTGCTGGGGTTACAGGTGTATGCCACCATGCCGAGCAAGAATCTTGATTTGCTTAGATTTGTAGTAAAAATAGGTTTAGTTAATCACCAGCCTAGGCATACCTTTAAAATGTCTTTCAGATTTGTTTTGTTTGGTTTATATTTTTCTGTATCCTTTAAAAGCTGATTTTTCTCTCCTTGTGATTAGGTTTTAAAGGCAATTGGTTTACAGAGAACTGGAAAGCAAGAGGAGGCCTTTACTTTAGCACAGGAGGTGGCGGCCCTGGAACCCACAGATGACAACTCACTGCAAGCGCTCACTATCCTCTACCGGGAGATGCATCGACGTATGTTTCCTTCTTTTCATTGCTTTTTGACCTGAGTTTATGAGTTCTCTGGTTTTTTTAGTCCAGTTTGCTTGTCACTCATGATTTGCAAGGCTGACAATAGGTAGATTGATACATTAACAGCTGTCTCAAGACTTTGACAGAAAGGGTGGTTTACATGTGTTACATTCTTTGAACTGGAAAGAGGGCTAACATGAGTTCATTTGTAACACTGTAATTTGCTAAATGGAACACTTACTCTTGTTTTTGGTTGGTTGGTTGGTATTTATTTATTTTTGAGGCCCTGAGGATTGAACCCAGGGAACCTGAACTACATTTCTCAGCTCTTTTTTCTTTTATTTTGTCATGGCGTCTTGCTAAGTTTCCCAGGCTGGCCTTAAACTTGGAATCTTTGTGCTTCCCTAGTAACTGGGATTACAGGTGTGCACCACCATGCTTGGCTCATATGTATTCAATTAGAATAGCATAATCCATTGTATTCTTTACTCAACTTCAATAATTATTTTTTTTCTCCTCATTGAGTTTATTGGTACATTTTAGGTATACAATACAGTTACATTCATTATTGGAATCTTATACCTTTACATGACAAGTCTTGGTTCTCATTTTTGCCCCTGGTCCCTGCCCTCCCTTCACCTCCTCCTGCCCTCCCCATTTACAAACATTTTATTTCCATTTTCAACTTCAATAATTATGAATTCGTGGCCAATTTTGTCTGTACCTTTTCGCTAGCCAGATTACTTCAGAGCATATCCTAAAGAGTTTTATCATTTAATCTGTAAATAAGTTGCTTTAAATAAGGGTTTTAATTGATTTTATTTTTTTTGTACTAGGTTTGGAACTCAGCACCTTGCACTTGCAGGACAAACGTGGTGCCACTGAGCTAATTAATCACCAGCTGTTTGTTCATTTGTTTTGAGACAGGGTCTCACTGTGTAACCCAGGCTGGCCTCGAACTTGTGGCAATCCTCTTGCCTCAGCCTCCCAAGTGTTAGGACCATAACTGTGTGCCACCACACCTGGCTTTTAATTGATTTCTTAAATATTTTATTGTGAAGTAATATTTTTTCATAATGCATATTATGAAAATATATTTTATGTAATATGCTAATACATTGGATGCATAGTAATGAACACTAGTGGCTCCAGTTTAAGAAATAGAGCACAGTTGATATTAGGAAAGTTTCCTGTGTGTATTCCTTATCGATGTCCGTTCCCTTTTTATCTCCCAAGGAGCAGGCTGTGCTGCATTGTTTCTGAGTGTTTCTTTGTTTTTTTATTTTCTTTTTTGTTGTAGTGGGAGTTGAGTCCCGGGCCTTTACACTAAGCTATGTATACAACCCTTGGATGGCCTTGCTTTGTTTGTTTTGGTACCAGGGATTGAACTCAGGACCTTGCACTTGCAAGGCAGGTGGCACCGGTAGCACCTCTGAGCTAAATCTCCAGTCTAGTTTAGTTTAGTTTAGTTTAGTTTTGAGGCAGGATCTCACTAGTTCAGACCAGCTTTGAGATCACTATGTAGCGAAGCTGGCCTTGAACTCTCAGATAACCCTTCTGCCTTAGGTTCCTGAGTGCTGGACTATAGGCATGTACCACCATACCCAGCAGACTTTGTTTCTTTTCTCTTTTCCTTTTCCTTCTTTTCTTTCTTCTCTTTCCATTCCCTTCTTTTTTGTATTGAGATCATACCCATAGCCCTCTTGCTTTTCTTTAAATCTTTATCACATTTATTTCCTTAATAATAAAACATTATTTTTGCTTAATTTTTAATTTTCTGTAAATGGATTTATATTGTATATACTCTGATTTACATTTTTCATCTAATATCCAAGTTGCTGTGGTTTACTCTTTTTTTTTTGGTACTGGGGATCGAACTCAGGACCTTGAGCTTTCTAGGCAGGTGGCAAACCATTGAGCTAAAGCTCCAGCCCATTAACTCATTTTCATTGCCGCATAATATTTATAGAGTGACTCTACCATGGTCTAGGAGAGGAATTGTATCAGAGTAAGTGTAAGTTTAGCTTAAGCATAAAGATAATGCCAGCTTAGGGCCGGGGATTTAGCTCAGTGGTTTCACCGCCTGCCTTGCAAGAACAACAACCCGAGTTCGATCCCTGGTACCTACCCTACATACATACATACATACATACATACAGATAGATGATGCCAGCTTGTTTTCTAAATACACAAGCAGTTGCCGGGCATGGTGGCGCACGGCTGTAATCCCAGCACTTGGGAGGCTGAGGCAGGAGGATCGCTGTGAGATTGAGACCAGCCTGGGCTACACAGTGAGTTCCCGAGCAGTCTGAACTACATAGTGAGACCCTGTCTCAAAAAAACCAGCCCTACCCCCAGAACAAGCAGTTTATGGTTCTGATTGGTCCATATCCTTGTGAACATTTACTTTTTTTATCGTTTTTTTTAATTGTTGGAAATTGAATCTAGGGACTTATTACATGCTAAGCATGCACTCTACCACTAAGCTACATCCTCAGCCAACACTTGATTATTTTTTTGTACCGGAGCTTGAACTTAGGACCTTGTGCTTGTGAGGCAGGTGGCAGAACCACTGAGCTAAATCCCCAGCCCTAACAATTGATATTCTTAACTTTTAAAAGTTTTGCCAACTTAATGGGAAGAAAATAGTACTTTATAGTTGAATTTTGTTTTAATTCTTATCAAAGATCAAACTTCAGGCTTGAGGTGTTACATCTATTTAGGAATTATGTTGATTTAGCAGTATGGTTTAAAATGATTATTGGTTGGATGTTTCTCTTGTCAAGTATTGTGTCAGAGTCATAGAGGAAAGATAACTCTTTCTGCCCTTATGTTACTCCTAATGTGTAAGGAGAAACAGATCACCAGGTGGTGTACTGCACCATAGTGGCTTTTTGTTTTATTTTTTGAGGTGAGTTCTTGCCATTTTGAACAGACTAGTGTCAAATCCTGGGCTCAAGTGATCCTCCTGCCTCAGCCTCTCGAGTTGCTGGGACTATATGGGTGCAGCACAGTGTATGTTATTATGCATTAATAAGTAATGGATTTATTTATAAGATACTAAGGTGCCAGAAGAAGACTGATTAAACTGAGGTGGAAAAGTAGAGGTAGTCCTCAGGAAAGGTCTTGTACAAAGGCATATATTTGAACTGGGTTGTGGATGATGTTTGATGACTAGAAAGAAGAAAGGAGACTGAGCAGAGGGACAGTATAAAGGCACGGGGGTAGGATCTATCACAGGACATCTGGTGGAACTTAAAATAGTTTGATGTGGCTAGGTGATCATGCTGGGGAAAGCGGACAGGGACAGAGGCCAGGTCCTGAAGGGTCTTGCATATAGTAACTGTGATGAGGAAGCCCAATCTGCAACCTTTCGCCAAGAGAAGTGTGGTGATCAGATGAGGCAAAGCAAATACATTCTTCTTTTTTAATGATAAGAAGCATCTATTTTCACCAAATAGGAAAAATGTTAAAAGTTATTAGGATTTGCTTTAACACTAAAATATAACTAAGTCTTATTTTTCTTTATATTAGCGGAATTAGTTACAAAACTTTATGAAGCGGCTGTGAAGAAAGTTCCCAACAGTGAGGAGTATCATTCTCACCTCTTCATGGCCTATGCCAGAGTGGGTGAATACAAGAAAATGCAACAGGTAACTTGATCCCCAAACCTACTGTGCTACTAGTAGAAGTTCTGTAAGGTTCTTCAATGGTTCTAGAGGTTCTTTAATGGATTAAATGGTGTGTGTGTGTGTGTGTGTGTGTTGAATGTATGTATTTGTGTGTGGAAATCAACCAGTTATTTATTGTTCAAGTTCTTTAAGTGTTTTATTTGGGAAAATTGATTGTTCTTCATTTTTGGCTTGATAGTATGTTTTGTTTGGTTCTGGTAAGTCTGCCTCAAATTGTCCCATTGCCTAATTGTTAAATTTTCAGAAAATAGAGGCAGAAATCCCAGAGTGAAAAATAAAGAGACTACAGAAGGGGTATCTTTTATTTTTTTATTTTTTGGTACCAGGGATCAAACACAATTCTTGTGCTTGCAAGGCAGGTAGTGGAACCACTGAGCCAAATCCCTGGCCCTGTATCTAATTTTTAAATTTAAGTGTCTCTGTTCTGCTGAGACGTTTAAATCAGCCAGGGGAGAACTCCCTATTGTCTGGAATAGTTGGTTTTTGTTAGTCTGTTTGTTTGCTGGAGGCAGCTCATTTGCCAGTCTGTCTGTTTCAGGTGTTCTTAGTACATATTTAAAGGAGCTTTGTGTGGATACATATTTGAAGTAGTGCAGAGCTAAAACTGATATCCCAGATGAAGGAAACATGCACTAGGAAGCCCGTAAACAAGTGGGATGTCAAAGTAGTGTTTTTTGTTCTTTAAAAAAGTTTTAGAAATAGGTAGGAGAAGTGAAGAGGGTAGGGGAAAGGAAATAAGGGAAAAGAAAAAATATGAGAAAAGGAAAAAATGGAAACAAAATCTTTGTAAATAAGGGAGTGGGGAGGAGTGAAGGGAGGCCTGGGGTATGGGGGAAAAATGAGAACCAATATCTGTCATGTAAAGGTACAAGATCCCAATGATAAATATAACTGTATTGTATACTTAAAAAGTACCAATAGACTCAATGAGAAAAGAAAATTTTTTAAAAAATGCATTTTTTTGGGGTACCAGGGATTAAACTCAGGACCTTGCGCTTCGAGGAAGGTGACAGCACCACTGAGCTAAATCCCTGGCCTTTTAAATTTTTTATTTTATTTAAATGCTTTTTTTGTGCATGTATTTTTTTCTTTTTTTTTTTTTTTTTTTTTTTTTTTTTTTTTGGTACTGGGGATCGAACTCAGGTCCTTATGCTTGCAAGGCAGGCAGTGGAACCACTGAGCTAAATCCCCAGCCCTTGTGTGTGAATTTTCTGAAGGCAGAGATTTCTTATTTGGGTTATTATTTTTTCTTTTTTTTTAATTTATTTTTTTGTTTTGGGGTTTTTTTGGTTTTTTTTTTTTTTTTTTTTTGAGACAGTGTTTTGCTATGTAGTTCAGACTCGCCTTGAACTCACTATGTAGCCTAGGCAGGTTTTGAATTTGTAGTACTCCTATCTCAGCCTCCCATGTGCTGGGATTACAAGCATGCACCACCATGCCCAACTTATTTTATCTTATTCTTTAACTAAAATGTCAAACTATAACAATAGATAAATCAGGCAGGGTAGATACTACTATTGTAGTATGAGTTCTTTCTTTTTTCTTTTTTGGTACTGGGGATCAAACTCGGGACTTTACACTTGCGAGGCAGGCAGAAGAACCACTGACCTAAATTCCCAGCCCAATAGAGCCATGTTTTTATTTTTTTATTTTTTGGTTTTTTGAGATAGGGTCTCACTATGTAGTTGAAACTGACCTGGAACTCACTATATAGCCCAGGCTGGTCTCGAACTCAGAGCAATCCTCCTGCCTCAGCCTCCTGAGTGCTGGGATTACAGGCATGCACCATCATGCCCGGCTGAGCCATGTTTTTAAAACATGTCTGTCATCAAAATTTTCTGTATTAGCAGATTATCCAAGGCTACAAAATGGGTACTGTGTGGACATGAAACTTTTGTCTCACGTTTTATATTAAAATTTTTTATTAATTTCTAATATTCACTTGCCTTTTCTTTTTTTTAAATCTTTGCATGTCATGAACTAAAGCTTCTATCTGATACTTTTTATCTTATACCTTCAGAGTATGTGTCCCTTACGGTTAGGCATAGGGAACTCAAGACACCTTACACTCTCTAGCTCATGTTCTGTGTCCATTTTATCTCAGGTCATCTGATTCTACCTCCATAGGTGCTCAGGTCTTGTTTTTCCATCTGATCTGCCTCATCCTGGTTTAAACCTCATTGTTTCTACTTCCTATTTTGTCTTTTCACAGTATTACTAACATGGTTTTTCTAGAAGAAAATAACTTCATACTTAGCATTTCCCTAATCCCTGTGACCCTTGGTTTACTAGTGTTGCCCCACCTAGTGCTAAGAATTGAATCTAGGGCTTTGTATATGCTAAGCAAGTGCTCTATCACTGAGCTACATCCCTAGTCCTGGACTTCCTTTTGCTCTTTCTCTCTCCCTTCTGGCCCTTTTCTCTCTTTTGCATTGCTGGGGATTCATCAGCACACTAAGGCAAGCATTCTGCCACTGACTTACACCTCCAGCCCTTGAATATTATGTATTTCACAATGAAAGCGTCAGTTTGCCCTCATTACTCCCACTTCCAGGATGGAACTCGGTCTTATGCGTGCTAGGCAGGCACTGTGGCACTTAGGTATATCCTCAGTCCATTTTATTTATTTATTTATTTCAAGACAAGGTCTTGTTAAATTCTCTAGGCTGGCCTTGAACTTGTGATCCTCCTGCTTCAGTTTCTTGAGTAACTTGGATTACAGGAGTATGCCTGGCATCTTCTCTGATTCTTAAGTTTAAATATACTGTCTGGTTTTCTTTATTTATTTTACCATAATTCATTAATATGTAAAGATTTGTTTAAAAATTTTTGAAACAGAGTTTTGATGATCTTGAATTCACTAGGCAGCCCAGGGTAGCCTCAAAACTCACTGCAGTTCTCCTGCCTTATCCTCCCAACTGCTGAGATTACAAGCGTGTGCCACCATGCCCAGCTAAAGATTGTTTATTGATGTATACTCAAATCGTATTTTTTGTTTACTTAGTAGTTTTATTAGAACAACACCTGATCACAGTATAGTCTAGAAATACTCGTCCTCAATTTTAGAAAAATATGATTTGAAAGATGAAATGTTAGTTGTGATATAAAATTCACTTCTGTGATTACCTCTATTGCTATAGCCACCAAGTCACTGGGCACTTACCCTAACTGGGATACATGTCTTGTTCTCCTAGGAAATGTTTTAACCATGTATCTGGATTATTATTCTGTATATGATATTTTCTGAATTAAATATTTATGACTCTCTTTCAGGCTGGCATGACTCTGTATAAGATTGTCCCCAAAAATCCTTACTATTTTTGGTCTGTGATGAGCTTAATTATGCAAGTGAGTATGGGATTCAGAATGGCATTGAGATTTCTCTTTAAAATCATTGTCTTAAATGTGTCTTCTGAACATCTTGCGTATGTTTTATTGTGGGTCAAATAGGGGCTTTACTTACATTATCAGCTGACTTTTAAGTTGGAGACAGTTGATACTTTTTGTGAGTTAGTAGATTGGCTTATTAGGATGGTCCATGGACTGAATTTCCCCTGAATCTTAGATTAATTTCTGGGTTATTTGATAAAGTACAAGTCTCCAAGAGTTTACTGTTTCAGTCTGAGGTTTAAGACAAATCTTTGAACTGAGTGGCCTTATGTTAGCACTTCTGTCTGACACTCACTTTGCTTTTTTGCAGAGCTTATTTCCCAGAACTACTGTAAGGACTAAAATGACATTTTATGTAGGAAAGGATGGGAGAAAGGAGGTAAAATGTAGTGATTAAGAAACAGATTTTCTGAGGTCAAACGAATCTGCCTTTAAATGCATGTGGTTTTACCACATGTTTTAGAGAGCTATTGGGGGACTCTCTTAACCTTAGTTTCTTTTTCTTTCTTTTTTTTTTTTTTTTTTTTTTTTTTTTTTTTTTTTGGTACCAGGGATTGAACTCAGGTCCTCGCTCTTGCAAAGCAGGTGGCGGAACCACTGAGCCAACTCCCCAGCCCACCTTAGTTTCTTTTTCATTTAAAGAAAAAAGTATATTAACTCAAAAGGTTATTTATAAGGAGTAAGTGAGCGCTGAACTGAATCTGTGCCCCTATTAAAACCAAAACAAAACAGGGGCCTGGGATTTAGCTCAGCGGTTCGGTGGCCTGCCTTGCAAGTGCAAGGACCCAAGTTCAATCCCCAGTACCAAAACAAAACAAACAAACAAAACAAAACAAAAAAATTCTTAATGTGCATTAATTTTTAATTCTTTATTTAAGGTAACTATAGTTAATACACTGTGAATAAAATTAATTGTTAATAATAATTAAATAATTATTTAATTCTAAATATTATTCTAAAAGTTATTATTTAATCTAAATAATGTTAATATCTCAAGAATATGTCTCAAAGGCTTTCATCTTTAAACACCCAATGAAACCCTTGGTATATGATAGCATAGGTTTACTCCCTCTTTACATATTTCTAGAATAATGTGTGAAAAGACCTATATAAATGTTGGGTCATATTGTGAAAGTTCAGTATTTCAAGAATGCATAGGATGATCAATCTTGAGTACAAAAACTTCTTGTTTAGCAAACAATTCTATTTAAAAATGTTAAAAAATTATTAGTACATATTTATAGTATTTAATGATTACATTCATCTTGGGGAGTTGGTACACGTACATAGCACATCTTAACCTCCATCATCCCACCCCTATTTCCAACAAAAACTAGTGTGTAACATATCCACTTGGTGAGTTTAGATTAGGCCTAGCATTTGATATACTGGATTGATAATTATGTGCCAGTGTCATAGTAATGCCTGCATGGTAATGACAGTAGTGCAAGCAGGGGAGAATTAGAATGAAACATTTATCTTTCCTTTTCTAGTCAATATCAGCACAGGATGAAAACCTCTCAAAAACAATGTTTCTGCCTCTAGCTGAGAGAATGGTCGAAAAAATGGTGAAAGAGGACAAGATAGAAGCTGAGGCTGAAGTGAGTAAATTAAGCCCTACTTTTATATTTTTATGGTTTTGATAGTGCCATTGTATATTATATTACACTTTGCTATTATGATTTGTTGCTTTATTCCAGTTCAATAGCTGGATTCCCAGTCTTGGCCTTTGTTTAAATGTAAAACTGTTGGAAGCCCTCTGCTTAGGCATAATGAACGCTGAGAGCTGTCTCAAGCACGTACTCTGGGCTGAGATGTGTGTGAATGGGAAGACATTGTCTCATTTTTACTATCAATTTTATCTCATTTGAGAACAGTGTTCTTTTCTATGAAATATTTTTTTAAAAAATATACAAATTATTGTCTTCTGATTATTGAAAAGTTTCAATGGTTACGCTTACTTGTTTCTTCTGTAAGGTTGAACTTTATTATATGATCCTGGAACGATTGGGAAAGTACCAGGAGGCCTTGGATGTCATTAGAGGGAAATTAGGAGGTAATTTTTAAAGTTTTCTTAAAGTTTCATTTTCTTTCCTAATAAAACATGAAAATTGTTTATTGTGGAAAAAGTTCTTCCTCACACAGAAACACAAAGATATGAAGACACTAAAAAAAATTTCACATATGGCCAGCTGCTGTGGTGTCTGTGTGTAATTCCAGCTTCTTAGGAGGTTGGAGCAGGAGGATCATAACTTTGAGGCCAACCTCAACACAGTGAAAGTTGGGCAACACAGTAAAAGGAAAAAGGAAAAACAGGCACTTGTTCTTGATCTCTTTTAATGTTCTTCCAGACTTCTGCATGTTGTAAATTTTATTTTTAAAACTTTTTCAATTGAGAATAATCCATGGCAAATTTAAGCAGTGTGAAAGATCATATGTTCTAGATCTCTAGGCCCCTACTCTTTGGTTCGCCTCATTACTTGTTATTAATAGCTTTATAAAGATATATTTTCCTCTCTCCTTTTTTTTAAATTTAAAAACTACAAATGAGAACCTCATTCATAAATAATTTTATTTGATTCCAGGTGTGGTGATGCACACTTGTAATCCCAATACTTAAGAGGCTGAGGCAAGAGAATCCCTATGAGTTTGAGGGCAGCTTGGTTTACATAGTGAGTTTAAGGCCAGCCTTAACTATATAGCAGAACCTTGTCTCAAAAAAAATTGGTTAGCACAGTATTTTTGTTGTTGTTGTTTGTTTGTTTGTGTTTGTTTCTGTTTTTTGAGACAGGGTCTCCTGCCTAGTTCAGTCTGATCCTGAACTCTCTATGTAGCCCAGGCTGGCCTTGAACTCATAGCGATCCTCCTGCCTCAACCTCCCGAGTGCTGGTATTACAGGTGTGTGTCACCATGCCTGGCTCTAGCACAGTATTTTTTTTTTGCAGGGTGGGGGAGTAATGGGGATTGAACTCAGACCCTTGAGCTTGCAAAGCAGGCAGTGGAACCAGTGAGCTAAATCCTCAGCACTAGCACAGTATTTTCACTTAAAATTTTTTAGTTTTTTTTTTTTTAATGTGTTGTTAAATTGAACCCAAGACTTTATGTATGCATGCTAGGCAAATGCTGAACCACTGAACATATGCGCCCAGGAGTTTTTATGTTTTTTCAGTCCATCAGGTAAAACATATCTTAACAGTTTTTAACTTCTGTAGTTATGACACAGGATGATCATTTTTTGTTTGTGTAAAAGCCGTTACTATTTTCTGAGCTGCCTTCTTATTTCTGAGATACTTGCTTAATTGTTTTATTGATTTTCAAGGCCACTTTTTTTTTTTTTTTTTCCAGTACTGGGGATCTAACTGGTCCTTGTGCTTGCGAGGCAGGCAGTGGAAAAGACCACTTTATTTAAGTTTTGTGCATGTGTGCGTGTGCGTGTGTGCGTGTGTGTGTGTGTGTGTGTGTGTGTATGTGTGTGTTTGAAACAGGCTTGCTATGTACTTCAGGCTGGCTTTGAACTCACAGTCTACCCCAGGCTGGCCCCAAATGCACCATGATCCTCCTGCCTCAACCTCCTGAGTGCTGGAATTACAGGCCTGCGCTATCATACTAGGCTTTAAGAGTACTTTGTATGTGCAAAGAAGTGAACTCTTTTCCATTATTGTAAAAATACTTCCAATTGATAGAAAATTATTTATATGAACTTGATAGTTGGATTTAATTGCACTATTTCTGTACATTTATGACAATGATTCTGGTTCTTAAATATTTATGTATCTTTGATTTTCTTAGGAGAAATGCAGTTTACTTTTTTGGGGGCGTGTACTGGGGATTGAACTAGGGTCCTTGCAACTTGCAAAGCAGGCCGGTCCCCGGTCCCCATGCAGTTACTTTTTGATAAATTAATTTTTTTAGTTGTTTCCTTACAACCAATGGGAGTAACTTAGCTGTAGCCCCAGCTTTTTCATTAGTTTCAATCAGAAACTGACTTCATTTCATACAAGTTTGTGTGTCTTTTACTGGATTATGTATAGTCATAAAATAAAACTGTAGTGCTATTCTTGGCATTGTTGGGGATCCACCCCAAGATCCTCTAGCATGGTAGGCAAACACTGTATGACAGCTACATCTCCAGCCCCTGCTTTTTTATATGTTTGTTTGTTTTTTGAGACAGGGTCTCACTGTGTAGTTGAGACTGCCCTGGAACTCAACTATGTAGCCCAGGCTGGTCTTTAGCGATCCTCCTGCCTCAGCCTCCCAAGTGCTGGGATTACAGGTGTGCGCTACCACGTCTGGCTCCTGGTTTTTTAATATAATTTATTGCCTAACCTTAGTCTCCTTACATTCTCTTTTTATTCAGATTGTACTTCCATAGATAGCTACAATTTAGATTCTCTATAGTACAGATGTTATTGAGATTTTTTAAGTGTATCCCACATACTCAGTCCTCTAATTAGATTGTGGACTGTTATACTGAGAACATGATTATAAAAATTTAGTATCACTTATGTATTTTTTTTCTCTTTAGCAAAATTATCTCTTTTTCTCACCCTTACCTTTTCCTTCTCTTACCTAGAATTGAACCCCAGTGTTTGTATTGAGCTATATCCTCAGACCTTTTTAAAATTTATTTTGAGACAAGGCCTTGCTAAGTTGCCGATGCTGGGCATGAACTTGTAATACTCCTGCCTCAGACTCCCAAAATGTCCTTATCATAGCCTGAGCCATTATGTCTGACTGCAACATAATCTTTATAAAAGTAGTAAACTTGTATCTAATAATGTTCCCATTTTCTAAGGGAGTGAATAAGAAAATGTAACATTTTCCTTTTTAAGTTTGGATCTTATCTTAGTTTTGCTAGAAATGAAACCAGCTTACCAACTCTTATCTTAATTGTAGAAAAGCTGACAAGTGAGATTCAGAGTCGGGAAAATAAATGCATGGCTATGTACAAGAAGCTGAGCAGGTGGCCAGAATGCAATGCCCTTTCTCGGCGCCTCTTACTGAAAAAGTGAGTAGATGTTTGTGCTTTAAGATTATAATGAGGCTTTAGGCCTCACTATTGACGTTGTTTGTGTTTTTTAAAATTTCTAGGCATAGAATATTCTTTTTATTGGTTGTGTCCTGGATATTTTTTAGAAGTTTTCCATAAGCATTCATCTTTCAGCAGAGGGGAATAATGGTATCACCACGGTGCTAATATTAGCTCTTTAGAATGACGATTCAATATTGGCCTAGAAGAAATAGGCTTCCTTCCCGCTTGTATCATCTCCTGTTTAAGAAGTGCTTTTTTGGGGAATTTTCAGTTAATAATATTAGTTTTCTAGACCTGGTTATTTTATTGAGGAAAACAGGTAATTGATATGTCTCACTGCCATGTGGCTCCAGTTTGAATTTGATCATTCTGTTGGCTTGAACCACTGTTGATTGGTACATGCATAACTGTCTTGATTACAGTCATGACTTAGACCAGATGTCATCATAATTAAAGTTTCTTAAGGAAAACATTAAATATATGAAAATTGTAATATAGCTAATTTGTGGTATAGCAGATGTAAATGCATATTATATATACCAGCAAAGGGATACTTGTAAGATTTCCATGTTAAAATTTAGATAATTATTGATAAACTATTCACAAGTATACGTAAATGCCTTTTAAAGTAATGAAATAAATAAATTTTTATAATTTTAAAATTAGTATGAATATTATTAATATATTTTGGCAGTAATTATTCAGACTGAAGCAACTAACCAGATTTAGTCCATTTATAGATTTTTAATTAATTTTATTAGTAAGAAAACTGATTAAAGTGATTAGATCCATTTGTACAAGCCACCCAATGGGACAGTCGTGAATATACCCCTGGTGGTTCAAGCCAGTGGGAATGTGTTACAAGTTTTCATTGTGAAATCCTTCTGGAGCGCCACCTTTTTAGGGCTGCAGAGGAAACCCAGAGGGAGGGTTGGGCTACTGCTAGTACACATGGAATAGAACTTAGTAACTAAATTGCTATCGTGGTTCCTCAGGCATATTTGTCACAACTTGGGTTTAATCCTCTGTGCATCATTCAATCTGATTTTAGCTCAGATGACTGGCAGTTCTATCTGACTTATTTCGATTCTGTCTTTCGACTGATTGAAGAGGCCTGGAGTCCTCCTGCTGAAGGTGAACAGTAAGTCATCTTCTTTCCTGAATTACAATGGCACCTTTTAAAAATGTGTCAGAAGTATTTCATTGTGAGCCAATTAAATTCTCTTTTTCTGTCTTAATAATATATTCATTTCAAAGTAAGAGATTTTTCTCTATTTTTAAAATTATAAAATATGTGTACATTGTAAAAATTTTCTTAGGGCTGAAATACGTGGTATATTCATTCTCCCAGATTTCTTTCTTTCCACGTGCTTACATAATTAACATAAAAGTGGAATTGTATTAAACGTAATAATTTTAAGCTTTATTTTTTTCTCTTTAAATATATCTTAGGCACCATTTCCTGTATAATAATACATGATTTACATTCTCCTCTATTGGTGATACTTTATAGACTTTTTTCTTTGCCCCCTTTTTTTTCAGTTATAAATAATGCTGCAGCAAACAAGTAGAATCTTTTTAAAAAATGAATACAGAAATAAAATTTAAAGATACTTATTATAGGCCTAGTGGATAGTTTAGAGTGCCTTGAGTTTAATCTCCAGCACTGCCCCTTTCCTCAAAAAAGATGAATTATGAACTGCTGCTTACTTCATAATATTATCTAAGTCATCTAGTTTTTTTTCAACCTCATTCTTAAATAAAATTTACTTACATTTTTATTAGTCAGTGATACACACACACACACACACACACACACACACACATTTATCCTTTTATTTTTTTAGGGAAATAATTTGAAGATGAGCATGGTGGTGTATTCATAATCCTAGCACTTAGGAAGCTGAGGCAGGAGGATTGTCACAAGTTTGAGGCCAGCCTGGGCTGCATAGTGAGTTCATGGCCAGCCTAAACTACATAGTGAGACCCTGTTTCAAAACTAGGACAACAGCAAAAGAATGTGAGTTGGTTAGTTACTCTTTAACAGTCAAATGCCAAAACTAGGAAAAAGTGCCATTTTTATTTATTTTGTTTTAAATGACCAATTTGGCTTGACTTTCAACTTTGAGGAGGACAAGAGAGGCAATAAAATACCTTTTTCATGTGTTTATACCCAGCTCTTTAGAAGGAGAAGTGCATTATTCTGCAGAAGAAGCTGTGAAGTTTATAGAAGATAGGATAACAGAAGAATCTAAAAGTTCTCGCCATCTCCGTGGACCATATCTAGCTAAACTGGAGCTGATTAGACGTTTACGAAGTCAAGGTTGTAATGATGAGTACAAACTAGGTAAGAAACTGTATGGTATTTGAGAATCATGGAGAAGACTGAGAGGTGACCTCAGTACCAAAACGCAGCAATCTGAGAAGACTTTAGTGACAACATCATGTTTGGGAAGCAAATATTTTCATAACCTGAAAATATTTACTAATTGCATGGGTTGCTTGCAAAATTAGTCTTCAATCACATATTCATCTTGGCTTTTTTTTTTTGTTTTTTTGAGACAGAGTCTCACTATGTAGTTGAGACTGAACTGGAACTCACTATGTAGCTGAGGCTGGTCTCGAACTCATAGCAACCCTCCTGCCTGAGCCTCCCGAGTGCTGGGATTACAGGCGTGCACCACCACGCCTGGCTTATCTTGGTTTAATATTAACACTTTTTACTTTTCACTGAACCAAAAATAAACTGAAATCACTTTCAAAGAAAAAGTGACAATTTTATAATAGCTTCAGGATTTCATGAAGCAGACAAAAGCTTCATTGAAAATTTGCTCCAGGTACTCAGAAAGCTATTGATGAAAGAACATTGGACACAATTAAAGTAAATAGCAACTGAAGAAAAAATTTAAGTTTTCAAAAACAGTAACCTGGGGGAAAATGTTATAGATGATAAAGTAAGAGAAGTCTATAGGAAATTTGATAAAAGTCTTACCTGTGTTTGTTTTGTTTTGTTTTTAGCTGTCATTATAAATTGTTTTTTATGATCTCACTACATCAAAAGTGAAGGATGTTGTATTGTGTTAGTTCATGATTTTTTGGGAAAAAATGGCTCCTTCCCCAGCAAAAGCAGTTAATCTGTGCAATAAAAATTTGTTTATAGTTTTAACTCTACCCTGACTTTTGCTAAATTTAGAAAATAAATTTCCTTTTTTTGCTTAATTTTTTTGGTATTTTTTTCCTGCCTAATTTTTGTTTTGTTTTTGTTTTTGTTTTTTTGAGACAGGGTCTCACTATGTAGTTGAGACTGACCTGGAACTCACTATGTAGTCCAGGCTGGTCTCAAACTCACAGCAATCCTCCTGCCTCAGCCTCCCGAGTGCTGGGATTACAGGCGTGCACCACCACGCATGGCCTCCTGCCTAATTTTTAAAGAAGGCTCCAGAAAAATTTTCTTTTACCATTACAAACGTTTAGTCTCTGTTAAAAAAAATTGGTCAAGAGGCTTTTTTGAGCTTAGGTTGTCCTATGATAATGAGTACCTCTAGGATCTGAGTCTGTCCTGGACTTCTTTGTCCATTTTGATCATCAAATTAATGTCCTCCCTAACTCATTCTAAAACTGATTGTGTACTTCTCTATGTTATTACCTTTGTAGCTCTTTCAAAGCTGACTTTGAATCCCATATTGACGTCTTTCTTTGGATCAGTTAAGTTTAGTCCTAGAATTGCAAATGAAAATGTTCATCTGATATTCAGCAAAATATTGTGAAAATAGATTCTTTTTTTTTGTTTTGTTTTGTTTTTTGAGACAGGGTCTCACTATGTAGTTGAGACTGACCTGGAATTCACTGTGTAGCCCTGGCTGGTCTCGAACTCACAGCAATCCTCCTGCCTCAGCCTCCCGAGTGCTGGGATTGCAGGAGTGCACCACCATGCCCGGTTTAAAATAGATTCTTGAGGATTGATTTCTCTGCAGAGTTGGATTTAAAAGTATCTAGATCTCCCTTACTACCTGCTTTATCCTCTAGCTTTCACTTCCCAGTCTCCACCCTACCTCTTACAAATGTGTAAATTTGTCTAGTCTCCACAGAAATACATTTACCAGACCAGTAAATGATTCTTACTCTCTTTGGGGTTACAGACTCCTTTGGGAATCTGATTAAATCCATGCACCTCTCATCATAGAGAAATGTGAACAGAAATTGAAACCTTTTGGTGGTATCGGGATTGAACCAAGGCCTTTACACTCAGCCCTATCTCTAGTTTTTTATATATATATTTTTTAAGACAGGGTCTCATTGAGTTGCCAAGTTGCTCAGACTGGTTTGGAATGAATGATTCTTCTCCCTCAGCCTCCCAGAATGCTGAGACTACAGGTGTGCAGCACCACACTTGGCTGATTTATTTTATTTTGGTTTTTTGAGACAGGGTTTTGCTATATTTTTAAGCCTGGCCTTGAACATACTGTGTAGCCCAGGCTGTCTGGAACTTATGTCTGTACTGCTTCAGCCTCCCAAGTGTTGTGATTTCAAGCATTCGCCACCATGCCTAGCTCTAATTTATTTGTTTGCTTGGGGCTTTTTTGGCCTACAGGGGATCGAATTTAGGACGTTGCAAGGCAGGTGTGGCACCACTGAGCTAAATCCCCTTCCCATTTGTTTTTGAGGCTGGCCTTGAACTCACTATATAGCCCAGGCTGGCCTTGAACTCCTGGTGACCCTCCTGCCTCAGCCTCCCATGTGCTGGGATTGCAGGCATGTGCCAGCAGGCCCAGATATTTGTTTTTAAACTGGCAAGTCACGTCTCAGTCCTCTTTATTATTTCATTCATTCTCATTAAGACATTTAGGAAGTTTTTAGTATAATTGATATAAATATTTTCAAATTAAACCTCTTACTTGAATTAGAAAATTTGAAAAATGTTAGAAAAAATTTCGGTCCATGAGTAATATAGTGATTTCCCCCTCCTCCCTTAGGTGACCCAGAAGAATTAATGTTCCAATATTTTAAAAAATTTGGGGATAAACCATGTTGTTTTACTGACCTGAAGGTGTTTGTTGACCTCTTGCCTGCTACACAGTGTACAAAAGTAAGTACATTTGAGAGTTCTGTAGACTTCCTCTATTTTTGGGACCTAGGCAAAGTGTGTGGGAGTGGTGAACAAAAGGTAGCAGAGTACTTGCCCCAGGAAGTGGAACATCTTGGACACTGTCACAACGAAGGCGTGATACCTGGTCAGGTTAGGCCACAACGGGAACAACTCCCTGGCAAATGATTGTGATTCTCTTTTTTGTTTTGTCACTTTATTTTGAGATAATTGTAGATTTACATGTAGTGGAGGAAATAACACAGAGAGCCCATAGGCCCTTCATGCATTGTGCCGCAGTGACAGCAGCTTGCATAACATAGAATAATAACATAATTAAGAAATTGACATTGATTCACCCTGTGATCTCATTCAAATGTCACAAGTTTAATAGTGTGTCTGTGTGTGTAGTTAATGTAGTGTGTAAGTATATATGGATTTTTGTGACTACCACTATAGGCAACATACTGAACAGTTCCATAACCAAAAGCCGCACTGCTCTTATACCTTTGGCCACCTCCTTGTATCTTCTTCTCCCAACCTCTATCTCTGGGCAAATGGTAACACTTTTTCTTTCTTCTTCCTTTTTTTTTTTTTTGTGTTTTTGGATCAGGGATCGAACTCAGGGTTTCATGCTTGCCAGGCAGGTGTGGCACCACTGAGCTAAATCCCTGGCCTTTTGGGGGTGTTTTTTTTTTTTTTTTAAGACTGTCTTCCTATGGAGCTCAGATTAGCCTTAAACTCTTTATGTAGACCAGGCTTGCCTCAAACTTGTGGTGATCCTCCTGCCTCAACCTCTCAGATGGTGGGAGTACAAGCATGCGCCATCATGCCTGGCATTATGTTTTCTCTCTCCGAGAAAGTATTAATATGTTTTCCATTTCAGTCACTTTAAGCATGTTATATAAAGGGGTCATGCTATATGTGTAACCTTTCCAGGTTGTTTTTTTTTTCCATACAGCAGAAATCCCTGGATAGTCATCCACATTGTTGCATGTATCAGTAGTTCAAACCTTTTTGTTGCTTTATAAAGTTCTAGTGAATGAATGTATCATAGTTTAGTCACCTGTTGGTGAACATAAGGCATTTTTACTTTTTAACTATTACATACTGCTATGAACGTTTGAGTAGGGTCTTTTTATGTAAACATAAATCCCTGGGGAAAACTCCCAGCTCATCAGTTGCTGAATCTTAAGATAGCTGCATGTTTAGTTTTTCATGAAGTGGCCAAACCATTTTCCATATTAAATTATTTAACTAGCAGACTAAGAGTAACCCAGTTTTTCTACGTGTCCACTTGGATTTAGTGTTGTCACTATTTTTATTTTTGTCATTCTGATATGTATGTACTCATAGTCCTAAATTTATTTACCATCTATATATTCTCTTTAATGAAATGTCTGTTTATATTTTTGCTCATTTTCCTTTTTTTTTTTTTTTTTTTTTTTTTGTACCGGAGATTGAACTCGGATCCTTGCACTTGTGAGGCAGGTAGTGGAACCACTGAGCTAAATCCCCTGCCCATCTTTGCTCATTTGGGGGGGGGTTGTTTGTTTGTTTGTTTTTTGAGACAGAGTCTTACTGTGTAGTTGAGACTGACTTGGAACTTACTATGTAGCCCAGGCTGGTCTCGAACTCACAGCCATCCTCCTGCCTCAGCCTCCCTAGTGCTGGGATTACAGGCATGCGCCACCTCCCAGCCTCATTTCCTAGTTGATTTTAAATTATCATGGTACATTTGTCAGAACCAAGAAACTGGTATCTTATTACTATTGGTTTTCATCTTCTGTGATTCAATTAAGATTACCACATTGTATTTGGTTATTGGGAGTTTGTAATGTGAATGGACCAATGTAAATCAGTTACAAATCAGTATGGAGAACTACATTCTTAGGCTTCCCATCGACAGCAGTATGAATTGGGTCAGCTTGCTTACCCATCAATGGGAACTTCATGCTTTGTTTCACATTTTTTTTTTTAAGATACCAGGGATTGAGTTCCGGGCCTTATGCACGTTAAGCAAGCACTGTACCTGAGTTACAGCCTCATGCCTGCCTATCTATCTATCTATTTTCCTATCTGTCTGTTTATTTTTGGAGTCATGGTTTCACTATGTAGTTCCGGTTGGTCTTATACTTACTATGTAGCCCAGGTTGGCTTTGAATTTGCAGTGATCCTCCTGCCTCAGCCTCCCAAGCACTGGGATTACAGATGTGTGTCACCATGCCCAGCCTCAGGCCTTTTTAAAATTTTATTTTAAGACAAATTCTTGATAAATTACCCAGGCTGACCTTGAACTTTGAATCCTTTCCCTTATCCTAAGTAGTAGTGATTACTAGCATGAGCCAACATGCCTGCCCTGTGTTCCACATTAAAGATTTTTTTTTTGGTACCAGGGATCGAACTTGGGACCTTACGTTTGTGAGGTAGGTGGCAGAACTACTTAACTAAATGCCTGGCCTTCACATTAAAGATCTTTAATGTTTCTCTCAGAGTATCCTGGATAGTAGGCAGGCAGTTGGCATACTCTGCCCATTGGAAGCATATCTCAGATAGGACAGAGCATCACCTGAAGTAATAATGGTGAGCTGGGCAGAGTAGTGTATACCAATAATCCCAGTTACTTAGGGATGAGGCAGGAGGATCAAAAGTTTGAGGCCAGCCTATACACCAAAGCTGAAACAGTGGTAGAGCTCTTGCCTGGAATGCACAGGGTCCTGAGGTCAGTCCCTATTACCACAAAAAGGTGGGGTAAGAAAGAGAGAAATTAGACAGGAAAGTGGAAGGAATAGGGGAGAGGGAGAGAGGAGGAAGGAAGCATGGGAAGAAGTGACTTTGGTCTGTAGCCAAGGATGTGGTGAAGGTTACAAGTTTTCCTGTCACAGGGCTGCCACCATCTCTTCTCCCAGAAAAAACTTCTCTTGTCCCCATGTGGAATGAATTAAGCACAGTGGAGTTGTTCACTGTTTTTTGGTGACCTCTTGAGTACAGCAGGGCTCAATACTTTGGTAGACTTAAGGTGTCACATGCAGTACAGCAGATGGGGCAGTACATTCCCTAACTAGGAAGGAGCCAGTAGTCTCTGTGGGTCCCTGAAGTGATTGTCATCGTTCACATTGGCTTAGTAGAGCTGTTCTGTGACACTGAGCTTATGAGCCAGCTTCAAGCCAAGTCTGGAAGATTCTGGATAAATTGTAACACAGGTAGAAAAGAGGGTTCTGGGTTGTAGGAGGATTTGAAAGCCTATGAAGAAAAAATATGAGTCAGGGAGGAGAATTTTGTCTGTTGAGAGTAGGATTTTCCCCCCACATATTTGAAAGGCAGTCTTGTAGAAGAGGGAAGAGAACAGGGACTGGCAGGGCTTTTATAGGGAATTCAGAATTAGGCTATGTGAGAATAAGATCTTTTTAATAGTCAGAATTCTCTAAAAATGCAGTGTGTGTTTATTACTGGAGGGATTTAAGCAGAACCCAGGTAAGCATGTGGAATGGATTGATTCAGTGCTTAACGAACATTTTATGTACTCAGCCCTAACAGGGAGCAACTGATCTTGTCCCTATAGCGATTACCGTCTTGGAAGTATCAGACAGTAGGGCTGCATTGGAGAAATACTGTCTTTCCTTTAAGAAGAGATGAAGGTTCTTCATGAAGGCTTGCTGCCATGGATTTAATACCAGTAGTGTTTTCATTGTAGGTTTACTTGATTCATTTGTTTGAAAATCTTAGGTCATCATATGTGACAACATATGGTAACATTTATCTATTCACAGAAACGCAACCAGAATACTATCAATGACACAATTGTTATTGTTTGGTGAGATAAGGACTTTTTTTCCAAAGTGGAAATATTTTCTTGCTTTTAGTAATTAAAAAGGTAAATGTGGGTGTTCTTACAAAGCATTAGACTGTACAGAATATACAAAGTAGAAAATTAAAGACTCCATAATCCCACTCTTATATAACCAACCACAGAATTACAGGAAGATTAACTCATGAATACAAAGAAATGTAATCAATACATGAAATGAAAAGTACTATACCTACAAAATCTTTTACAAAAACTGAAACATTAATATGGATTTAATCACAATTTTAACATAGACACATTGGGGAGCTGGAGGAAAGCAAAAGGGGCAGTATCATGGGTTTGAAAATCCTCTATCCTTTCGAGAATTGACAAAAATTTATGCATTTATTATAGGCTGTGTGTGTGTGTGTGTGTGTGTGTGTGTGTGTGTGTGTAAAAAGCAAGGCAAAAATAGTTCCTTCTGGGAACAGAATTTGTTATTCCAGGTAGATAGGTATATGCTGTGTTTGGTTATAAACCTGTTAGATCTACTTTCTATTATATGGATTTTGAGGGGATACAGAGTTTTTCTCTGCAGTTCAAGCTGGCCTTGAACTTACCATGTAGTCCAGGCTGGCATGGAATTTGTCGAATCCTCCCACCTCAGCCTCCCAAGTGCTGGGATGACAGGTGTGTGCTGTTATCTGAGGTATTTTATGGATCTTCACAACTTCTATATATCCAGACAAGGATAAAGCTAAAAGTAAGATATGAGACACCCATATTTAAAGACAGCATCCTTTTGAAAAGTTTATAGACAGTGCTATCAATAAACCACTTTTTGATTTAAAGATCATTTGTGATTTAAAGATTAAATTAATGCCTGGCCTGGTGGCACACACCTGTAATCCCAGCACTCGGGAAGTTGAGGTAGGAGGATCGCTGTGAGTTCAAGACCAGCCTGGGCTACATAGTGAGTTCCAGGTCAGTCTCACTACATAGTGAGGCCCTGTCTCAAAAAAATTTTTTTTAAATTAAATTTATTTCAAAAGTACTTATAAACAAGTAAAACATGATTAAAGCATTTATAGTGAATTTGTCAAATAAATCATTTTAATATGTACCTTTTTATAGGATAACAATAACATTACTGTGGTAGTATTTGTTGTTTTTATTAAAATTAGTTATTTTCAAGATTGATTATTAGTTACAAATC